CCAAGTTAGGGAAGCAGCCTCATCCGGACTGTTTAACTCATAGGTGCGCCACGACTCATAGGCGGCTCCTCGAAGCTGGAAGGTAGTGAAGGAAACCCCGCTTGATCCTGCTATACCCATGGTATGGAGAATATGGTAGCACTCATCTAGAAATCCTAGAGCATGATCCAATGCTAGACCACTGAATACAGGAGACTTTTACTTCTTGAACCTCTCAAGCCTCAGATGCCCATCCTCGGAAACCGCTGTCCTGTCCTCGGTCTAACTAGGAATTGCAGGTTGTATAGGAATAATCTCTGGGACCTGATCAACATGCAATCACTGCTCAGGGGTGTGAGTGGCGGGAGTCTGTGCTCCTCCCCATGCCTAAGATGTGGCTGCAGCAATGGGATGCAACCTTGCCTAAGCCAGAGTGGTGTACATGCTCATGAACTATGCAAGAGTCTCCTGGAGCACTGGAGTAGTAGTAGTAGTAGTAGGCGTATCAGGTGCCTGGAATCCAGTTGGAACTGCGGGTGGATCCTCAGTGGTAGCTCGCGCGCGTGCTCTAGCTGCACCGCGTGTGCCCCCTCGGCCTCTACTCTGGCCCCGACCTCTGACGGCTGCAGTAGGAGGCGCGGGTGCCTGATCATCTCGTGTAGCACGTGTCCTCACCATCTGTGAGAGAATAGAAGATAGAAGTTTAGAGTTGTGATATCAAAATCTCGCACGACAAGGAAATCAAATAAAGTGGAATTTTCCTAACAGATACATAGCCTCTCGTAGATAAGTATAGATGTCTCCGTACCGATCCACGAGACTATAATAAACTGGCTTGTGATTCATGACTCCTATGAACCTAGAGCTCTGATACCAACTTGTCACGACCCCAGCTGGCCCTCCATGAACTATCGTGACGGCACCTAGTCTCTACGACTAGGTAAGCCTAATAAAATGTGGAAAAGAAACAATTTGCGGAAAGAAAATAATTAAAAACTGAAATAACAAATGAAACAATGTTTAAGATGTCGCCTGGCATATAACAGTACAAAATCTAAACCTAACACTCCCAAAATCCGGAACACCATGAATCACAAGTTAAGAGTTTACATAAAAAGCTCTAACTCCAGAAATATCTATCAACAAGAAAAATACAGAAGGGCTATACTAGTATTGAGAATAGAAAGGGACTCTTCGGTCTGCGGACGTGGCAGGTATACCTTGAAGTCTCTATGAACGCGCCTTGCCTCAAGTGTGATACGACTGAGTGGAAGTACCTGGATCTGCACATGAAAAACATGTGCAGAAAGGGCATGAGTACTCCACAACATTACTCAGTAAGTGCCAAGCCTAACCTTGGTCGGGTTAGTGACGAGGAAGGTCAGGGCCCTACTGAGGTTAAATAAAATACAAGGTAAAACAATATAGAATAGGACAGTATAATTAAGTGCAACAGTAAGAAATAACACATTATAGAAAGAACAACATCAATTATAACAGAGACAAGATAATCACGGAGAGGAATACATCGCAACACGGAATTAACAACTGGGGATCTCTCGGTATCCCGAGGATCTCTTAGTATCCTCAATATGTGCTGGGGATCTCTTAGTATCCTCAATATATATGTTGGGGATCTCTCGGTATCCCAAGGATCACTTAGTATCCTCAATATATGATGGGGATCTCTTGGTATCCCGCACTACAATCCAAATCAATATATATATGCGCAGGGGATCTCCCAGGATACCGTCCCGTAGTCCCAAAGTAAACACGCAGCAACAACACGAAGAATACTCAATTAAATTCAATTTCACACCAAGGAAAAATAGGTATTTCTAACCTAGCATGCTTCACATAGTCCAAATAAGGCAGTTTGAGCAAATAAAGCAATTAAGACAATTAGGCATGATTCCCTAAGCTAGTAGCAGGCTTGAATTGTAAGTAGAATAAACAGGAAAGGAAAACACAATTAAAGTTACTTAATGAAAATAGGATTTTCAACAATTAACACAAGTACGCACTCGTCACCTCACGTACAAGGCATTTCAATTATCAACAACACCAAATCCTAAGGGGAGTTTCCCCTATATAAGGTTAGACAAGCCACTTACCTCGAACCGGCTCAAAATCAACCCGAAATCACGTTTTTGCCACGAGTACTCGACTCCAAATGGCTCAATCTATTCAAATCAATTGCATAATATAAATAACACTTCAAGTAACTGATTCCACTAATTAATTCTAAGCTAATACGCGAAATTAGGAAAAATGACCCAAATGCCATCCAGACCCACATCTCGGAATCGAGTAAAATTTACATTTTTGGAATCCTCATACTCTCATAAGTCTAACCATACCAAAATTATCCAAATCCAATGTCAAATCCCCAATCAAAACTCAAAATTTAGGTCTAAGAACTTTCCCCCAATTTCCATCCAAATCCCAAAATTAAATGATGAATTTATGTTTAGATTAATAGGTTACAAGCAAAAAGGAGTTAAGAATCGTTACCCAATCGATATCTCTGAAAATCCCTCAAAACCTCACTCAAATCCGAGCTCTCAAGCTCTAGTTTCACAAAAATGGCTAAACCCTCGATTTTGAACTTAAACATTCTGTCCAGACGCGTTCTTCTTCGCGAGCGCGAGGCAACAGTCGCGAACGTGATGCACTAAAATTCCACTGGCCAGTCTTCCTCTTCGCGAACGTGACGCCCAAGCCGCGAATACGATGATCATTTCCTCTTCTCCTACTCGAACGCGATACTGCCTTCGCGAACGCGTAGGCATAAGGTCCCACAGCCTCGCGAATGCAGGATTACCTTCACGAACGTGAAGCATAAATCCTTCACCATCCCCAGTTCCTCTTTGGGAACGCGAAGAAGGAAACCAGAACTGACTGCTGCAACTTTTTCTAAAAATTTTTAAGTTCCAAAAATGACCCGTTGAGCATCCGAAACACACTCGAGGCCCCCGGGACCTCAACCAAACATGCCAACCAATCCTGAAACTTCATTCAAACTTGTTCCAATCTTCAGAACGCTCAAAACAACATCAAAACACCAATTTAATATTGGATTCAAGCCTAAGAACTCCAAAAACTCTCAAATTATGCTTTCGATCAAAATGTCTATTAAACCTTGTCTGAATAACCTGAAATTTTGCAAGTACATCACATTCAACACTACGGAGTTACTTCAACTTCCGGAATTCCATTCCAACCCCGATATCAAAATCTCACTATTGAACCGGAAACTTCAGAAATTCAACTTTCAGCATTTCAAGCTTAAATAAGCTACGAACCATTAAAACACAATCTGAACACGCTCCTAAGCCCGAAATCACCCAATGGAGCTAACGAAACTGACAGAATTTCATTCTGAGGCCGTCTTCGCACTGCTCCGACTATGGTCCAAATTCTAAAGCTTAAGCTCTCATTTAGGGACTAAGTATCCCAAAACACTCCGAAACTCAAAACCAAACATCCCGGAGAATGAAAATAGATGTAATAAACTCGGGGAAAGTAATTAATAGGGGATCAGGGCATAAATTCTAAAAATGATCAGCCGGGTCGTTACATTGAGTTTTCCGATTTGTTAGTTGTTTGGAATGAGTGTTGTCTTAATTGATTGGAATCATCAAGATGAGTTCAAAACTTAAATTTCAAGTGATTTGGAGTAGATTTAGGCTATATTTGAGTTAAATTTCAGAAATTGAGTTTTCCGATTTCTTAGTTGTTTAGAATGGGTGTTGTCTCAATTGATTGGAATCATCAAGATGAGTTCAAAACTTAAATTTCAAGTGATTTGGAGTAGCTTTAGGCTATATTTGAATTAAATTTCAGAGGATGCCCAAGGAAGAAGAAGAACACGTGAAGCTCCATTGATAGGATTCATTTGTATAATAATGTATAATATTGTATAAATATTATATAATAATGTATAAACACAACTTATACACTATTATATCCAAGGTTGATACATTATTTACAGGTATTTGGTGAATTTCTCACATTTTCTTCTTCTTCTTCTTCTTATACACCTATATACATAGTGTATCAAGAATATTTTGACTCTGTGATTATACATTTTTATACAACTATATACATACTGTACTTCTTTGTATAAAAGTGTATAAGCATCGCTAACGAAATTTTTGTACGATTTTCACTTGCAATTCTTGTATAAAACTACTCCAAATCTCCAGCAAATAACTTTAAACTTTGTATACAACTTACTTAGACAATTTCTAATAAGTTCAAACAATATCCACTCCAAATTTCTCACAAAAGCATAATCGAAATCTAACAAGATTAGCATTAAAGGAGATGAGATTTTAGGTTTCTCGCGTCTGTTTTTTCGTTTTGCAGTTGTGATAGGTATATATAAACTTGAAGATATATAAATTTTTTTTTTTAAAAAAAGTAGAGAAGTATTGGTTATGGAAGAATGCATGAATGAGTGTTGACTGAATGGGGAACTGATTTTTCTTTTCAGTTTTGTTTGCATATGATTCTTTTTCACTAATTAAATTAAATATTTATGGGTGAAAAATGAGGAGAGCTACAATAGGGTAGGGGTAGGTAGAAATAAATGAGGTTGTTATAATTAAAGGGAATGAGAAAAGAAAAGATCTTATTGATATTTGGCTATACATTTGCAAATTTGTAACTCGGCTAAAAGAGTGCAAGGTCAACTTATGGAGTGCATTATTCTATAATTTTGTCTTTTTTTAAAGGGAAATGTATACAATTTGTGAAAAAAACTTAAAACACTTTTTGAAAACTATAAAATCTAAAGAAAATGAGTAAATAAGTTCCTGTAACAATACATATAGGAAAAACTCTCTTCCGAGAATAATAGAGAAAGTTGGGCATGTCAATTGGTATTCCAAATCCTTGTTAAAGTCGATAAGTATACTTACAACGCCTAGATAAATGACCTTAAAAGACCAAACCAAAAGCATAAACAGAGTTTTTCTCTTGACCTAGAAATCTTACACCCTCTTCCTTTCAAAGCTATGGCGAATTGGGCAGAGTTGCCGCAGGATCTCCTTACTCACATTACAGAGCGTGTTAAAGTGATTGAAGATTTCATTGCTTTTCGTGCTGTCTGTACCTCATGGAGAACTGGTGCTAGAAAGAAATTTTTCGATGCGCTTTCGCCCCAAGTTCCATTACTTATGTTGGCGGATAAAGATGACTATTATCGAGAATTTTACTCTCTTTCGAGGAAAAAAGTTTCACGCATATTTCTCCCAGAAACTAGAGGGCGAGAGTGTTTTCCATCAAAGGGATGGCTGTTCACCATGTCATATACCGGAGAGATGAACTTGTTGCATCCTTTCTCTCATATCAATATACAGCTTCCCCCACGGAAGGACTTATTATTGGCTTTAGAGGGTCTCGTTGTAGCACCCGAAGAAGAGATTTGGAACTGCATGGCTATCTTATCGGCCAGTCCTTCTCGTACATCAGATTATGTACTGGTGGTTAATTATAATTATGGACGTGTTAATAGTTTGGCTTTTTGGCGACATGAATATTGACATTAACACCCATGGTGCAGTCACGAGTATGAATTATTACAAGGGTCAATTTTATTGCGTCAAATGGTCTGGCCAAGTCTGGGTTTTTGATGTTGCAAGGTTTACCAAATCAATTGTAAAACCACGCTTGCTTATTTGGCTGAAAGATAAAATCTTTGATCAAAGTTCAGTTAAGTTCTACCTAGTCGAGATATCCGGTACACTATTACTTGTTACCCGATTTCCTCATGGAGGGTGTCAGACCTTTAAATTTAAAGTATTCGAGTTAGATATAATCAAGCTCGAATTGAAAGAGATTAACACCTTGGGAGATTCGGCAATTTTTGTGGGCCTTAACGGAGCAAGCTCCGTTGACTCTTCTAAATTTATAGGAGTCAAGCCTAATGACATATATTTTACGGATGGTTGGGAAAAAGAGTTTAAATACGTGCATGGAAGGTGGTGGTGGAAGAGACATGGGGCTTACAATATTGAAGATGGAAAAATTGGATCTTTTTATCCCGGATTGTCACTAAGCCCTATTTCCCCGCCTACTTGCGTCACACCATCATTTTGATAATGTTATTGCAGTCATGATTTTACGTCTCTTTATGGTATTCAGCTTGCAAATATTAACTCTTCAATTTGATTCCCTTCGAACATTCTATCTCTTTCTAGCATGCCATTTTAGTTGTGTGCTGAGTGTTATCTATGTACTGCATTAATGAAATTGAATTGCAAGAATGTTATAATAAAGAGAAATACACGGCCTAGGTGAATATAGTTAGTAACTTAGCTTCACGAGGAATGTTAGTGACTTGGAGGATAAAGCAGGTCTGATCCGGGCTTCAATTGTAAACTACAGTAGTTAAGGCTACTTGTGCAGTATTTTCCCACTTTAGAAGGACCATTATCACCGCACACTCTTTTCCCACTTAAGAAAGGACCATTATCTATCTATTTTGCTAGTCCGGAAATAAAATGTGGTCTTTTTTGACTCAAATGATTTAAATGCGTGAAAAAAGATTTAATGACCAAATTATATATAACGCTTTTTTAAACCGCATTATACCTTAACAGCCGTTTTGCCCGTTAAGCTATAGCACAGTATTTGCATTTTAATGCATAGCGCATTAATGAAGTGCGCTATACGTTTCTCTTTCTATCACTGCAACAGCTCCTCATTTCTTTTCGTCTCTTCTTCCCCTGATCTTTGTCAGCATGATAGATTGGTTCATATGTATTGATTGATTGTGTAAAATGTTCTATATTAATATATGTGTTATGAAATAAAAGTAATTTAGTAAAACATGAATAAGAAATAAAAGCAATTTAGTAAAACATGAACAAGAAATAGAGA